CCAACTTGGCTTCAGCAATATCACTGGGCAAGTCGGCAGCATAAAACGTATATAATAGTCAAATTATAAAATCAGAATTGTGTTTTAGAATATCTCTGGAGAATGGATTGGATGTGAAAAGGAGGAATCAAGTTAGACTACTGTAATCCTAGGTCCAAGTGAAAGATGGTGATTAACTGGCTTACTGGAGATAGAGAGGACGGGAGAGATTAGAGACACGCTGATGGAGAGAAAGGGAAAAAATGGTGAGTTATTCTGAGATTTCTAGTTTGAGGAACTGGGTAGATGGTGATGCCATTAACTGAGCTGGAGAATTGTAGCAGAAACACAGATTTGCAGACATGTTGTTTAGGATTTACGTGGAATGATCGGGAATGCCTTTTGGTGAAAAGATTCCAAAGAAATGCTCCAATTGTAAACCTTTATACTGAATGACAAGCTAGAGTTTACCTCTAGAGTTCAAGCTGGAGATGACCTAAAAGCAATATCTTCTTAAAGGTCTAAAAGTTAATACAAAGAGTTTGCCAGATACCATAGTTTTGACTTGCAGACAGAGATTACTGGCATATTAGGTCATGCAGGCCTATACTACAAAAATGCACGTTTCGTACAGAGCCTTATCTATATGTAAATAGAATCCAAAGCAATGAGAAAATTCCATTGCCAAAATTTCTGAAGATGGGGTGCGAGAGGAGGGAGGAGGGACTTAGTAGATTCAGCTTAAGACAGCTGAGTTTGACATCACCATCCAGGTGGAGATGTGCAAAACATAGTTGAATATACAGGTCTAGAGCTTAGGAGACGGGTCGTACCTGAAGCTAAATTAGCCTTGGGAGAAAGTAAAGACCAAGAAGAGAAAATGGTCAAGGATAGAACCCTAGGCAACCACAACAGTATTCGGGCGACTGGGGACATAGAAACTCAGGGTACTGGCTGTGTGTGTATCATTTCCTTCGTGAAAGACAATGTGGGTGGCTTCAGGCAAGTGAGTTGTGTGGTTCCAATTCTCTGTGGTTCAGTTAGACATAATTTTGGTGCCACAGCGCCCACTAATGATCAGGGCTGTTCAGAGCTACTCAGATGCCCCTTTTGCTGTTACACTGCTTAGCATTTCACTAACATCAGAAATGTCAATCATAGGAGACACGTTGTATTACTTCTGTGTAAGGTCTCTTATAGGTATTGGGGGACAGGCATAAAGAAGTCCAAGAAATAGTCTCTGATCCTCTCCCTCCAAGAGCTTACAACTTAGATCATGAAAAACTAACTCTTTTTGAGACTCAATTTCTTTATCCGTAAATAGTAAAAATGACTGCTTTACTTCTAATGGTTGATGTGAGAATCAAATTAAAGCTTGTATAAAATATTTTTTAACGTATAAAGTATGGTACGAAGACAAGACATGGCATGTAATTGAGGTCATTAGACAATTCACATGTTTGGCAATATAAGGAATGCCAGAACTAGGATGATGACTAGAGAGAACAGCAAATGGGAACATCTGTTCATAATCTTAAAATGTAGATAGCTACTCAAATTTGATAGTGGTTATAAACAATGTATTATAGCCTTATATTAAGACAGAACCTTAGTTTTGTGCCCTGACCTAAATTAACCCTTGATTCTTTCATCCTACAGAGTAGACCACAAACTCCAAGCATTAGAAGCACAGTTTAAAGAACTGGACTTCACCAAGGATAATCTGACACAGAAATTTGAACATCATAGCAAGACTCTGGCAAACCAAGCTGCCCAAGATGAGCTGTGGACAGCAGTTCTGTCATTCAAGTGAGTATCCAATCAGAAATCAGTGGAATTTTGTGGTTTTGTGAGAGCTTGCTGTGGTCATTCTAAAATTGGGTTTCTTTTTTTAATAAATTTATTTATTTATTTTTGGCTGCGCTGGGTCTTCGTTGCGGCATACGGGCTTTCTCTAGTTGCAGCAAGCAGGGGCTTCTCTGGTTGTGGAGCATGGGCTCTAGGCACGCAGGCTTCAGTAGTGGCAGCACACGGGCTCAGTAGCTGTGGCTCACAGGCTTAGTTGCTCCGCAGCACGTAGGATCTTCCTGGACCAGGGCTCAAACCCGTGCCTCCTGCATTGGCAGGCGGACTCTTAACCACTGTGCCACCAGGGAAGTCCCTAAAATTGGGTTTCTTAATATGGTTCCAACAATGGATTGTGAAGAAGTTACATTTTCTTAAGCTCATTCATTCAAAAGAGATTAATTTGAGCACCTGTTTACTTGCCAGAACTGTAGTACACATCTCAGAGTCCCTTGCTTGACAAAGTCTTACTAACATAGAGATGGATAATATAACTCCTCTGCCATGGAGAAACTTATAGTATGAGTGGCCTGAGATCTAAGCTATCCAGTTTAGTGCAAGCCCTATTTCTTTTCTTTTCTTTCTTTTTTTAAAAATTCTTTTAATAGTGTGTATCTGTTAATCCCAAACTCCTAATTTATCTCTCCCCTTCCCCTCTGGTAACCGTAAAATTGTTTTCTATGTCTGTGAATCTGTTTTGTAAATAAGTTCATTTGTATAATTTTTTTAGATTCCACATATAAGTGATAACATGTGGTATTTGTCTTTGTCTGACTTACTTAATTATAATCTCTAGGGCCATCCATGTTGCTCCAAGTGTCATTATTTTGTTCTTTTTTATGTCTGAGTAACATTCCTCTGTATATATGTATCACATCTTCTCTATCCATTCATTGGTCTATGGACACTTAGGTCGCTTCCATGTCTTGGCTATTGTAAATAACTACTATGAACACTGGCAGGCCCTATTTCTAAAGTAAGCATTTTCTAAACTGCAACAGCTGGTTGTTACCTGAAAACTGGGTTCAACTCTTGGTGGGCGTTGAACCAAAAGACAACCAAGCCAAAGACTGGGACAAGAAAGGATGTATTACTTGCAGCAAGTAAGGAAAACACCAGGGATCTTTCCCAAAGCAGCATCTTCCCAAACAGCAAAACTGGGGAAGTTTTAAGCTAAGAGCAATGCATATTCATGAAGGGGCTTGAATAGAGGAGAATTCAGCAGCGAATTGGGGCAAAGCAGAGTCCAAGCTTTAGTTGACTGAAGTCATAAGGGTCAGAAAAGGTCAACATCATTATTCCATCTTCCACTGGGTGAGGACCTCAGTTCCTGCAGAACTCAAAAGATATGTAACAGATTGTTATATACATCCCTTGAGGAGGAACTAGGACTCTTATCACTAAACTATTTTTTCTTGACAGCTTTTCCTTTGTCCCTGCATTCCCTCACTTCCCATTAAGATCATGAAATACTGAGACCTGTTCAAGGTTAAGCACTGTGGCCAGGCTTAGATCACAAAATGGCTTAGGTCAAAAATGGCTTCTCTTGGGCTTCCCTGGTGGAGCAGTGGTTGAGAGTCAGCTTGCCGATGCAGGGGACACGGGTTCATGCCCCGGTCCGGGAGGATACCACATGCCGCGGAGCGGCTGGGCCTGTGAGCCATGACCGCTGGGCCTGCGCGTCCGGAGCCTGTGCTCCGCAGCGGGAGAGGCCACAACAGTGAGAGGCCCACATATCGCAAAACAAACAAACAAACAAACAAAAAATGGCTTCTCTTATGTCAAGAGAGCCATGCCTGGTTCTCTTTCTCTGGGGACCTCCTACTGTATCTGCTTACAGTTCTCCTAGTAGGTTTATACTTCTTTGAATTAGCCTAAGAAAATTCTTTTTATGTTTGTATGTAAAGAGTTCTAATGCTTAAGAAGCTCTCCACATTTTTTGTAGGTTCACTCCAATGGAACTGAATATTTTATACAGCTACGTCATTGAAGTACTCATCCGCTTGCACACTCGTGTGCTTGAGAAGCTTCCAGATCTGATGAGAGGTCTTCCCACCTTAGCCTCCATCCTTAGACGAAAAGTCAAGAACAAGCGCATTAGAGTTGTATGGGAGTCTGTTCTGGAGGAGCATGGGATGCAAGAAGGAGATATCACAGCACTGTGTACCTTCTTTGTAGCACATGGTAACAAGGCCGAACACTACATTGCTAAAGTAAGGCAAATGTATATAAAAGATGTCAATTTCATGATCACTAATATGGTAAAGAACCAGGCTCTGCAGGATGGTTTGCTAAAGGCTGTTCAGGTCATTGAGAAGGGAAAAGCAGTGAGGGCCTCTGAAGAGCAAAAGTCATCCCTAGAAGAGTTGATACCATCAGCCAAAAGCTAACCTGTTACCCTAGACCCAGAGATTATGCTTCTAGTAATTTATCTTGCAAATGGGGAAAAAATACATACATGCAACTTATTACAGGCTTATTTTTTTTTTTTTTTGCAGTACGCGGGCCTCTCACTGTTGTGGCCTCTCCCATTGCGGAGCACAGGCTCCGGACGCGCAGGCTCAGCGGCCATGGCTCGCAGGCCCAGCCGCTCCGCGGCATGTGGGATCCTCCCGGAGCGGTACACGAACCTGTGTCCTCTGCATCGGCAGGCGGACTCTCAACCACTGCACCACCAGGGAAGCCCTACAGGCTTATTTTTATAGCAAAAGTGAGGAGAGTGTTAAATTATGATATACAGTGGATACTTTCTATGTAGCAATACAAGAGAATGAAGAAGCTCTTCATGTAATTGTATAGTAATATGGAGTTATCACCAAGATGTGTTGTTTTAAAATATTCATTTCCAGGGCTTCCCTGGTGGCGCAGTGGTTGAGAGTCCGCCTGCCGATGCAGGGAACATGGGTTCGTGCCCCGGTCCGGGAAGATCCCACATGCCGCGGAGCGGCTGGGCCCGTAAGCCATGGCTGCTAAGCCTGCGTGTCTGGAGCCTATGCTCGGCAACGGGAGAGGCCACAACAGTGAGAAGTCTGCGTACCGCAAAAAAAAATAATAATAAAATAAATAAAAACTAAAATAAAATATTCACTTCCAATATATATTGCTAAATGGAAAAAACAGGCAAAAACAAACATATAGGCTACTATATCTATAAACTTCATAAACTTCTTCTGGAGAAATACATTAAAAAGTGATAACATTGGTTTTCTTAGGGAAGAAAACTGAGAGGCTAGGGATCAAATGTAGGAGGAAGTCTTTTCAATGTTAATCTATCTGTACTTTTTGAATTTTGAACCATGTGAATGCATGTACTAAAAGCAATAAATAAATAAAACATCTAATATATTTTGTATGTTGATATGCATTTTCTCTCTAGTACAGTTCCATAGTTATTTGTACTAGAAAGGGAATTCTCACACACTGACCATATATTTATAATTAAAAAAAATTTTATTTATTTGGCTGTGCCAGGTCTCAGTTGTGGCATGCGGGACCTTCGTTGCCACGTGTGGAATCTTTAGTTGCGGCATGTGGGATCTAGTTCCCTGACCAGGGATCGAACTCATGCCCCCTGCACTGGGAGCGTGGAGTATTAGCCACTGGACCACCAGGCAAGTCCTATTTATAATATTTTTTGAATAAATGCCATGCACTAGGTAGTGTGAATAACAGAAACATTTTAAAATGTGGATCCTGCACTGCAGGTAAAAGTTAAACACTGATGCTTTATTTGGGAGGTACAAATTCAGGACAACCAGAATGAGTAACACTTTGGAAGGCTGTTATGTAGAGAAGGATGAGAAGTAATACAAGATGATGTGTTACCTTGCTGGCTCCTCCTTGACAATAGGTTGCTTGCTAGATCTATGCACTCAGTCTTGTCCTTCTCTAGACACATTGTTTAGAGACACCACACCAAATAAAAAAAATAGAGAGAGAGAGAAACCATGTGTTGGAAGTGTTACTGAACCAAACTTGGTCTGTTTGCCCGCCATGCAGCAAAGCCAACCTACTAACATGGGGGTGTGTTGAAGGAAAGTGCAGTGTTTATTGCAGGGCACCAAGCAAAGCGAACGGGCAGCTAGTGCTGGAAAGACGACAGGAACTCCTCTGTGGCTTCCAGAGACGGGTTGTAAAGGCAACTTTTGTTGTGAGGGTTGCAGCTCACGGATTTTCTTTTGATTGGTTGGTTGTGAGGTAATAGGGTGATGTTCTGGAATCTTAATCATCAACCGATTTCTACAAGTTTAGGGTCTAGTGCTTGTGATCAGCATGTAGTCACCATCCTCCACCTGGGTGGGGTGAGCCTTAATTTCTTCAGAACAACTCAAAGATCAGATCATTGTGTACATCCCTTGAGAAGGAACTAGGACTGTTTTATCACTGAAATATTGTTTAACCTATTATTAATTTTTCTACTTGGCTGCTTTTCCTTTGTTTCTGCATTTCCTCCCTTCCCTAATTTGTAACTGCTTGAGTCTACTCTTTGGAACTCAGGGAAGGGCTAGGAAACAAAAGCCTTTGTTTCCTACAAGAAACAGGAGACATGGAGGGGCCTTTGTAGCCGGAAGGGCCCTGCAGGGTCCTGCTTGGTTTCAATCCCCCCTTTTCTTTGATACTCCTCAATCCTACTGGAACAAAAAAGGAAATAAAGTTTTCTACAGAGAGGTTAATCATAAACTTGGCAGGGAAACTCGATTTTAGAGGGGCTTGGTTTCAATAGGAAGAAGGAAGGAAAATTTCTCTGTTGTGCTCACAAAGTCTATTGTTTTCAATTGGTCAAAATTGGCTCTGTGGGGAGTGACCCCCTCATACTTCCAGGATGCATCCTCTAAGCCCTCCTAGCAGCCACTGGGAAGCCAGTGACTGCATTGTTCAGTGCAGTGTTTCACAGGATCCCAGAAGTGGCAAGAGAAGCCAGAGATTCCAGAAATGCAACTGGTCAGCCCCAGGCAGAGGAAAGGACTGTGGGTCCACAAAGCAAAGGAGGCCAGGGAAATCTGAGGAAGCACATAAAATGAATCCATTACACAAGACACAGGTACCGGAAAATAGAAATCAAAATTCAAGAGTTAAAATAAGATTACAAAAAAACCCATAATCACTAGGCAATATACAAATGAGTGAGTTCAGAGGAGGGGTATCATTGTGTGGTGGAGAAATATCTCCTAGAGGAAGTGCCTTGAACTGATCCTTGAAGGAGGCAAAGCCACGAAGCAACTCATTTAGGATGAACTGAGATTTCAAGCAATGGCCCCAAAACACAAGATTTGTATGACAGTGAATAGATCATAACTGAATGTTTAAAAGAATAATAGGAGATTCCACAGGAAAAGGAGGTTGGGATCACATTAGGGAGCCTGGAATTAAGGGATTGATACTATGGACAACTGGATGACAACCAGTTTTTTGAACTCGAGTTAAAAAAAAATGAAACTTCCAAAGCTCTCTAGAAAGGATCCACATCTCCTAGTTTTGCCTTCATCTGTAAACCACTCATCTCCAGCACCTAAATGACCTCAGCAAACCTAAAAGACCTTAATGACTATTTACATGCACAGTGAATTTCTTTTATCTTCGTCAACAGCTATTTAGCATTTCCTCAGAAAACTCAGACCTGTTTTTTTTCCAAAAATTTTAAAATTGAGGTAAAACACACATAACATAAAATTCACCACCTTAACCATTTAAAAACTTTTTTTATTATTTTTTTAAGACTAGTCAAGTGCAGTAGTGAGAACCACCTTAACCATTTTTAGGTGTACAGTTCAGCAGCATTAAATATTTACATTCATAAAATTGTGCAACCATCACCACCATCCGTCTCCAGAACCTGTAAAACTGAAACTCTATATCTATTAAATAATAACTCTACTTTGTCTCTATGAAGCTTGGTTCTTAAGTACTAGAGATCACAGTCTTTATATAATCCCCACCGTTTTCTTAGCCAAAATCTACTTTTTCATACAACTCAATTCAGTAGGATCAGTTGTCAGTAAAAGAACTCAATACCAAAGTAGAAAAACTTATTCCAAAAGCATAAAAAGATGAAATATTTTCCTTTTGACTTCCTTTGTAATTCTGATTGCTCTAGACTGAAATTTAACAATAAAGTAGTTAAGCCCAGGATCGTGGCAGCAGCCCCAAAGTTTGTTTCCCAAGTGCCTGCTAAACTGCAGCAAGTTTGTGGATTCTCTGACCACAGCCTTTCTCGGAGATGCTTTTCCAAGAACTTTGGAAAGTGACCTAAGAGGCTTAGTTACAAATTAACGAAAACAGAAGGGTATTCTGAGGAGTACTGAGGAAAGAATTTTTTAAATTACTATTCGGTTTTTAGTTTGTTTTGAGGTTTCCCATTTTCCGCCCAGAGACTAACCTTGCGACACTTCCGAGTTTCCGCAGCCTCCGGGAGCAAGAATCACGCGGGAAAAGTGGAGCCGCAGGGGTTGCGACGCAAGGGGAGGGCCCTCTCCCGGGGGCGGGGCGGGCGGCGCGCGCAGGCCCGGAAGTCCCTCCCGGCCAAATGTTAGCCGTCTCTGCTCTTGGTCGGTTCTCTAAGGTGGGAGGGGCCGTTTTGGCGGGCAGCTGTGACGTCACTAGCCCTTGTCGGTTTGCTACAGCACTGCAGCCAAGATGAAGCTTTCTGGCTGACGGAAGAAAGGCGAGGGGTGGGCTCAGAGCCCCGGGAAGTGGTCGCTTGCGGCTCCACAGGAGCGGTAAAACTGGAGTCCCGCTCCAGCAGAGCCCGGCGTCCGGGCGGAAGCAGCGTTCTTTCTCGAGCGGTGGCCTGGCGGCCGCTTGCCTACACAACATCAGACTTGGCTGCCCGGAACTAAGAGAGCGTCCTCGCCTGGTAAGAGGGAGGAGGGGAACTTGGTGCGAGCCTCCTGCGGCGCCAGAGAGCCAGAGCCCACCGTCCTCCTTGCCGCAGCGGTTGTTAATGCCTGGGAGCAGCCAAGGTTCATTTGTTTTCTTTCCGGATGTTTGTCTTAAACATGGACAAATGCACCGCCTTCCAGGGTCGTACTGTTTGTTTACCTTGCCAGCAGAACATCTTTTTACTTCAAGACGTTTGATACTCCCAATCTCTGAATTCTGGTAGGCTGCTGGGCATAATATTTAAACACAGAACTGTTAATTTGCTTTTTCCTTACTTAGGCTGGAAATACGATTCTTTCTCTTTCAGGTGTTGATGTTGAATATGCCTTATTAGCATATTAAAATGGCTGTGCCCAAAGACGCCATCCCTTCCTTGTTGGAATGCCAGTGCCAGATCTGTGTGGAAATCCTAATTGAGCCAGTGACACTCCCTTGTAACCACACGCTCTGTAAACCATGCTTCCAGTCGACTGTCGAAAAGGCAAATTTGTGCTGTCCCTTCTGTCGCCGCCGGGTTTCTTCGTGGACTCGGTACCATACCCGAACAAATTCTCTTGTCAATATGGAACTGTGGGAGATAATTCAAAAACACTAT